AATGATTATTATTGTTGTTGTTGCAGCTTTATCTCTGTAAAAATAAAGGAATGTAAGCTGTTACTGTTAAAATAAAAATTAATATTTGATGATGATAATTTTATTTGACTACAAGTTACAATACTAATGTTTGTCTTAAATGCTTAAATTTCAATTATTAAAACCCTCAATCTTAACATTACAAATCATTTAGCTTTTATTTTGGCAGAATACTGGTTGTTATTAATTAGTGTTATTTTTGTCAGCTATTTTCAATTTTAGTCTTAGTCTTAGTCCCGTGTTAAATGTCCTTGTTAGTTTTTATCATATTTAGTCAACCTTATCCTATTTAGTCAAGTTTTAGTCGACTAAAAGTCTCAACATTTTAGTCGAGTTTTAGTAAAAGAAAATCTAAAGTATTTTAGTCTAGTTTTAGTGAAAACTTGACATTTTAGCAATAAGATTATTATTAATTAACCGTACAGCAGTATTAATTTTGGCAGCCATTCTTAATTTAGTCTTAGTCTTACTCAAATGTACATTTTAGTTATCATATTTAGTCAACCTTGTCCTGTTTTTGTTTAGTCTAACTATAATAACTAACTATAATAACAGTGAAATTATAGTAATTCCAGACTAATTCCAAATTATTTCTCTATTAAAACAACAGCAGTTGAGTAAGTGCATTTATTCAGCGATCACAATCACAAACAATAGAGTCGAGATCTCATGACAGAACACAAACCGGTTGAGTGATGCTTTCATTTAGATCGCTAAACTCCAGTTTGTTTGTCGCTGTTTTCAGATCATCTGCGGCGGCGCCTTTGCAATGAGGAGCGAGCGCGTGCGCATGGTTGCCAGATTGCTTAAAATATGACAAACATTTTTCGTCATACTTTCCGTTAACGAAATTAACACTATTATTATTATTAGATAGTAACTTTAACTCTTTAAAAATAAAGAATGTAGCCTATTACTGTTGAAAAATGAATATTTGATCATTATAATTTTATTTTAGACTACAAGTTAAAACTTTGAAATATTCAAACCCTCAAGCTTTTAACAATTCAAATCCTCTAGCTTTTATTTTGGTGTAGCACTGGCTTCATTTTACATTCTATTTGATTAATTGTTTGCTTTTCATCAAATCCTGAAACCCCTGCAGTTCACTCATAAACCCTCCTTTTGGGAAACCCTGATTTATTGACTGTTACATACAGACAAAGCTGATTTGTAGACACTATCCAACGCAGTATTATACAACATTGCTAATGGCTGGTTTGTGATGGTGTTAAATATGGCTCATGAACTCTTTAACTAATGTAGTGTGTTTGTATGTGCTGTTTCTCAGGCCGTCAGTGTTTCAGCAGCCAGTCATCTTTCTGGGGGCGGATGTGACGCATCCACCTGCAGGAGACGGGAAGAAACCCTCCATTGCAGCGGTCGGTGTCGCTTAGAGCTGAATGATATAACAGATACGTTATGTAGTCAAACCAAAATGTTTTCAGACACCTTCAACATTGCTCACATTATCACGGTTTATTTGCTATAGTTTAGAAAATGGTAATAAAATATGACAAGAACTCAAGAGTTAAACTGTCAGAACAAATTAATCTTGATAATATCAGATAACTTTGATAGAAAGGTATGTAATTAATTAGATTGAATAGCTGTCAGCTGTTAAATTTAAGTACACAATTAGATCATACCAGTTTAGGTCAACCAATTACCAAGCAATGCTTAATTTTGTTCAGTCTGTGGTGTAAAAAGTTAGCATTAGCAATTAAAGAAAAAACACTTAAGCAAAACACGGTCAGGTCAAAGTGTCTGAATAATTTTGGTAACAAATTTTTATCAGTTTTACTGGTAGTCCACTGTATGAAGAATTTTTGGGTATGACATGTCACAGTTTACTTCATTTTGCTATCCTCACTTACATAAATGAACTATAGTGTCCTGCATCCACTAGTAAAAAATATCAAAAATCATTTTATTTATTTATATAGCACAAATAAACACAACAGGAGTTGACCACTGTGCTTTACAGAGTATAAAACTAAGATAAGAGATAATGAGAATAAAACATAATTAAGAGTTGCTAAATGCTCGGGCCAGAAGATAAGATTTAAAGGGTTAGTTCACCCAAAAATGAAAATTCTGTCATTAATTACTCACCCTCGTGTTGTTCCAAACCCGAAAAACCTTCGTTCATCTTCGGAACACAATTTAAGATATTTTTGATGAAATCTGAGGGCTCTCTGACCCTCCCATAGACAGCAAGGTAACTACCACGTTGCAAAGAAAACAAAAATAACGACTTTATTCCACATTTTCGTCTCTACTGCGTCACTTGTGGACGCGCGTTCACGGTACTGTCTTACGAAGGTCTTACGGGTTTGGAACAACACGAGGGTGAGTAATTAATGACAGAATTTTCATTTTTGGGTGAACTAACCCTTTAACTTCAATTTAAACTCATGTACAGAGGGCAGGGATCTCGGATTAAAGAGAAGGCTATTCCAGAGCCTAGGTCCAACAACAGCAAACGCACGATCCCCTCTTGACTTCAGTCATGTTCGAGGCTCAGCTAGAGAGTAACTGTTTGTGGACTCCAGTTAGAAATCTGGCTGCAGCATTATTGAACCAGAATTATATCTGGTGTCTGAATAATTTTTGGTTTGACTGTGTATATATATATATATTATAACATTAAGTAACATCATGACTATAAAATTTACCTTCCTCTCTGTGTGTGTGTATAGGTGGTGGGCAGTATGGACGCTCATCCCAGCAGGTACTGCGCCACGGTGCGTGTCCAGAGACCCAGACAGGAAGTGATTCAGGACTTGGCCTCTATGGTGCGAGAGTTACTCATTCAGTTCTACAAGTCCACTCGCTACAAACCCACCAGAATCATCTTCTACAGAGACGGCGTGTCTGAGGGCCAGTTTAGACAGGTGTGGATTCGTTTGTCTTTCCCATCACTAATAGAATCTTTTTCTTTTCATTAAAGTATAAAACATTATCCTGTTTCTGCTCATAGGTGTTGTATTATGAGCTGCTGGCCATTCGAGAGGCCTGTATCAGTCTGGAGAAGGAGTACCAGCCTGGCATCACGTACATAGTGGTGCAGAAACGCCACCACACGCGCCTCTTCTGTGCCGATCGCAACGAGAGGGTGAGTGTGCCACCTGTTTAAGCGCCTCTGGAGAGTCAGATTACTCTAAAATTATGATGAAAGAAGGCTTATGATTGTGAGACTTCAGATGCATAGTGTACTTGAGTTCACAGAAGTGACAGGAAGGATCAGTCGTCAAAACAATGAAGGATGCGTGACACTGAATGCTAACGCTCCTAACAGCTGCTGTATACGCAAGTGTGCCAAAAAGGGGATTTCTACTTACCAGTGTTATTTTAGTATTATTTATGTAGCATTTATTAATATTTTGAATTGGCATTTATTTTTATTTGTTCAGTTTTCATCAACTTTAATCGTAGTAATTTTGTGTGCTTTTGTCATTTTTACTAGGGTTTTTTTTTCAGGTTTTTTTAGTATCATTGAGAGAGGTGCATCTCTAATTATTGGTGACATTAGAAATGGATATTATATAATAGCTGCTCTCGACAGACGCGGCACCCCGAGTGGGGCCTGCGTCTGCGCAGTGCCTGATGCAGCCCCTGAAGCGAGACACAGGAAACAGAAATACTGTTACTAATACTAATAATAATACTAATAAATACTAATAATAATAACGCGACTAAACGAGACGAAATAACGTTATAACATTTCGTTTCGTCTCATTTTGGTCAACGAAAATGAAGAGACATTTTAGCATAGTTTTTATTTTGTAAACCACATTTAGTCTCGTTTTTATTCGTCAACGATATTGCATTATACATTTAATTATAGTCATCGTCACATGACCAGCATTTTCGTCTCGTCTCGTTTTCGTCACGTGATAAAGGTTCGTTGACGACGATATTTAGTCATAATTTTCGTTGACGAAAGCAACACTAGAGACTATTATAGTATTTATTAATATTTTGAATCAGTTTTTATTTTTGATATGTTCCTTTTTAATTTTTATTTTGGTTAAAGTGTTTTTGTTTTAAATATGTATAGTTTTTATTCATTTTTAGTTTATTTTAAACCGAATGAAAAAGAGAAATGTCGCCTTGGCAATTAGCTTTTTTATTTGTTAATGTTATTATTTTTATTTATGTATTTATTATTTTTATGGTTAACATTTTTAAGGTTTTAAATATGTGTTTTGCTTTATTATTTTTTATTTGAGTAATTTTATTACTGAAACTTATTTTATTTCAGTTAGGGTGCCAGTGCGACATTTTCTGTTTAAGTTTTCAATCTAATATTTATGTTATTATATCTCAGCTCTATTTCAGTTAACAAAAGCTATTAGTTAATCATAACACTACTTGTTTTATACAAGTAGAAGAGCATATAGTAGTGTCTGAAAATATTTTTTAAAAAGCGATTTTAAAACTTTAATTTTGATACACTATTAAAGCAGTGGTTTTATCAACACCTGTTGCACTTTATTTGTACTCGCTCTAAAATGCCCATCCCGAGTTAATAGTTATAAATTGAAGTAAACCGAATACCTAGGTCAGATTAAGGAGAGTTCATTAAGAACTCTGGAATGTCATCTGGTGAAGTGTTTTCAGACAAACCTGAAGGCTGCACCTTTTTTGAAAACATAATTTTGGCATTGATTGCATCCTTTAAATGACTCTGTTTATTTCCTCCACAGGTGGGTCGCAGCGGAAACATTCCTGCTGGTACGACAGTCGACACGGATATCACACACCCCTACGAGTTTGACTTTTACCTCTGCAGTCATGCTGGAATACAGGTACAGACAAACACATTTTCATGGCCCCAAATGGCACTTCCTCCTGCCTTTTAAGCTGCCCGCTGGTCCGGTGTTGTGTGTAAAACGCCTCCTTGTTCACTCCACAAATGATTTTGCACGCAAATTTGGGTTTAGCAGCGTGAATAACTGTTATGTAATCCAGTACAGGCATCCAGTCTTGAGTATATGTTGGTGAATGGCACAAAATTACTCCAAAAAACAAAAAAAGAAAAATGTCTGGACGCATTATAATATGAATTTGAAAAAAAAAAAAAATGTGTTTAAATGTATGGAAGCTAATTTCCGCCATGGATTAAAAATAAGAAAAGTAATTGCGACTTTTTATATTTCACATGTCAGACTTGGTTCTCAGAATTTTGATAAACTTTACAGAATTATGAGATGTAAACTTGTAATTTTACGGAAAAAAGTGTGAATTATAAAACTTGCACTCAATTTTGAGGAAACATTTTTGATATTTTTTTTCCCACTACTGGGTTTTTTATTTTCAGAATTATGAGTTTAAATCTCACAGTTTTTCTCAGAATTGATATAAACTCAGAATTGCACGAAAAAAAAAAATTTCAGAATTGTGAGAGAAAATGTTACAATGCAGAAATTAAAAAAAATATAAAATATTTTTTGCTAAATATAATTTCTTTTTTTTTACGTCTTTGATAATGGTTTTATTTAATAAAATAAAATGTCTTTATAAATGTCTTGTTTTTGTGATAGTCCCTCAATGCGACAGCCCTGTCAGTCCGATCAAGCTACAGTATCGTACAAGATGTTTTTGATAGCGTACCTTGAGCATTCATGAGTTTGACTCCTCCTCCTTTTTTCTTTGTCTTCCTCTCATCAGGGCACCAGCCGACCCTCCCACTACCATGTCCTGTGGGACGACAACTGCTTCACTGCTGATGAGTTCCAGCTGCTCACTTACCAGTTGTGCCACACGTATGTGCGCTGCACCCGCTCCGTCTCCATCCCCGCGCCAGCCTACTACGCCCATCTGGTGGCCTTCCGTGCGCGATACCACTTGGTGGACAAAGAACACGACAGGTGTGTGTGCCAAGACCCAAATCTGTGGCATTGTCCTACAATAGCACTGTTACTGATGATATAGCTAAAAAGTTTTGTATTGTTAGGTGAATTAGACCACAAGTTGTTAACTCCCAGCATGCTTTACATATTGCTGGATCAGGAGAGCAAATGTTGAATTTAAGTGTTATTTTATGTCTTTTTGGGTTAAGGAAAAGACCTGTTAATGTTTAATGTTTAGTTATGTTTGAAAAGAGTTATTATGTTGACGTTTGAGATGAAATGACAACATTTGTTATTAAGACTAGAATCTAATAACTAAATTCTAAAAAAAAAAAAGTATGTTTAAAACCGTTATTTTAGAACCATTGAGATTTTTATAGAGTTATTATGTTGACGTTTGAGATGAAATGACAACATTTGTTATTAAGACTAGAATCTAATAACTAAATTCTAAAAAAAAAAAGTATGTTTAAAACCGTTATTTTAGAACCATTGAGATTTTTTATTTTTTTTATATATATTTTGAATCAGTTTACATTTTCTGTTTTCATTCAATTTAAAAACGTTTTAGTAATTTTTATTAGTTTTTTTTTATGTCTGTAAGTATTTAATTTTAATTTAATTTTTTTCAGTATTAGTTATTTTAGATCACCATGAAAATAGCCTTGATGCTGGCATGGTGTTAAAATGTGAATATAAATAAATAAATAAATAGTTATTTTAGTATGTCAAGCTAAACTAAATTAAAATGAGAAATGTTGCCTTGTCAACTAGCTGAAATAACGTGTTTTTTTTTTTTCTTCAGTCAATGTTTCTTTTTGAGTTTACTATTTAAGTAATGAAATAGATTTTTATGGTTTTAATTTTAATTTCAGTTTTAGTTAACTCTAATAACCCTGGTTTAAAATTAAGATAACTTTAATTTTATGTAACCACTTGCCTTAAAACACTTAGTAAAATCCAAAAGCCATTTTTTCAGTATAATCAATTTTGTAATTGTTTTTGTCCTAAATTGCAAATTAAGCAGGATTATGATTTTGTGTTGTGTTCTGTGATCGCTCAAGGTTTCTGTAACACAATTTCCCTTGCAGTGTTATTTTAGTATCACTGAGATACTATTACAGTTTTCACAAAAAAATTTAATTAGTTTTTATTTTTATATTTCTCATTAGCATTTTAAATTTACTTAAAGTTTTAGTAACTTTGTTGTGTGCTTTGTCATTTTTACCAGTTGTTGTTTTTCAAAATGTCTACAGTTTTTATTCATTTTTATTTCAGTTATTATAGTTAATCAAGTTTAACTAAATAAAAATGAGAAATGTTGCCTTGGTTTTTTTACATTTAAATTTTACCTTTTTTTTTTTTTTATTTAAACGTATTTAAAAAAAAAAAAAAAATTTTATTAAGCAAGGGAAATGTTTTTTTATGGTTGTAGTAAACTATAATAACCCTGCTCGCTCTTGTCTCTCTCAGTGCCGAGGGAAGCCACGTCTCCGGACAGAGTAACGGTCGGGATCCCCAGGCGCTGGCCAAAGCTGTGCAGATTCACCACGACACCATGAGGACCATGTACTTTGCCTAAGCCAGCTCACATCCATCCCACGTTCGACTAGTCACGCACACAAACCCAACAACCGCATACACACGCCGTCACACCTCCCAAAAGCCTGTGCATCCCTGTGGGTCGATCTCTGTGGCGATGGAAGCGCGGCCCGCCCCGACACTGTGCAGCAGGATGAGGAAGGCCTGCTTTAATTCCACACGTGGACCTCGGCACTATTATGCAATATTAAACCAGCCAACTGAGGCCGTTCTGTCATATCCCCTCCAAAACCGAAACCTAAAGGGAAGCCCGTCTATGTCCCCGCTCCTCTTCCTGTCTGTAGACGTAACGTTTAATTACTTTCCCTGCCTGTCACGCCTTGTACCTCAACGTTTTCTAACAGCACTTTTGCCCCTTATTGTCCTTCGCCCAAAATGAGATTGGAATGGAAGCGGATGGAAAGACTGAGTCCAGAAGAAATGAAGTTTCGGGGAACGCCTGCGGATAGAGGCGCTCACACTAGCAATGTACTTTCCTCCCGTTCTCAATTATTTTTGTAGCCAATGGTGACTTAACTACGTGTTAAAGAGTCAGTCGTGAAGAACCAATTGTGCGTTAGCGTTTTAAAACAGAAAAACAAGCTTTTATTGTTAGAGAAGTGCCATTGCCGAGCGTAAAGTCCTTTATGACATACCCCGCCGGGGGGGGGCAGAAGGCTGACCGTTGGATTTTTTTAAGCAAATTTACGCTCTAGCTTTCATGTACTACAGCGCAAAGTGATCATGTTTGGATGCTTTTTCTTGTTTTTAACACCCGAATTCCCTCCAATATTTATTAGTCTCGATCAAACGCAGCTCCTAGCACATTTGTCTCGTTCGCTCCCCTCCTGCACTTTGTCTCGATTTAAAATGCATAGTCCATGTTATGTGACATATCATACATAGTTTAGTGCAATAATCCATTAGCGGGATGAGAATACCCCCGTTGCGACTGGGGGGTAAAAAAGGCATCCGAAAGCATGCGATGGGCATTGCGGTTGGTTTTTAAGATGGAGGTGTGCATGTTTGGCACTTTTATAGTTTCTTTTTGGTGAAAGTACAGCAGCGTTTCCTGACGATTGACTGTCGTGTGTTAACAAGTGCCTGCTAGAAATGCATGATGGTGGGAGGTCAGAAACGAAACAAACGCACCTCATTTAGTCCAACCAAGGGCACAGTTGCGACCACGTTCGACTGTACGGCCTTAACAAAAAATCTCACCGTTTCAACGTCTCTATTTTCACTGCCCTGCCTGTTTCAAAGGATTTCTCTGCTGTTGTACTTGTTCGAGTCCGACCGGCGGGTTCATGCTTCAGTTCGCCTAGGCACGAGGGACCGACTGGGCCACGTGTTCAAGGAGAAGCTCTGACAGCACCTGATTCGTGCTCGATCACTGGAGGGCCACTAGGGGTCAGTATAGTGTTTTACTTGAAGGATGCAGTGAGCGTCGGGTGCCTTACTGTCTCTCCATGCGCCATCTGAAGCATGTCCCGCTGTTTAAAGGTGATAATCTGCACTAAATAATGCGTAATGCATGGTGCTATTAGGTGCGGCCCGTGGCGGCATCAGCAACTGTGTAAGATGGAACATGGGATGCATAAATGGTGCTGGTTGCATGCATTTCTCTCACTCTGAGGAGAAATTTCTCATCAGGACAGACATTTGGTCGTTTTGTATGTTTGTTAGATTTGCGTTTGATTTTATTGAGTAGAAAGGTACAGCACAGTGGCCAGTCAGAATACGATTACGGTCAATTGCACCAAGCACTAGAAAGTGCTTTAAAGTCAATCCCTTTAAAATCCAGAATGCAGTTTATGCAATCAAATAAATTCTGAAGTCTAAATAATCGAATGAAACGAGTGCAGTAGGCTGTTGTGATGGGTTTTCTGTGTTTTAGTTTTTATAAAGTGTGCATCTGTTGAAGAAGGTACACCGTGTTTTATGCCCATCAAAAGTGGTTTAAGTGAGCATCGATACAGCAGCTACTGAAATTGCGACTTTTATTTCACCTTCCCAAATGAAACGGCTTATCGGTGCTTCAGAGCCTAGGAAGTAAAACCGTCTGTGTGTGGATGCCAAACAGCTGTCATCTTGATGAGGTGTCATGCAATTTTATTTTTGTGTAGTTTTAACTTCAAATATATATATTTTACTAACCCTTGCCTCTTATCTTGGCAGGAAATGCCTCTTTAAAGGAATAGTTTGGTTCTAAATGATCATGAATTGTCATTTTTACTACCCACAGTTGTTTCAAACTTGCATGACTTTTTTTTGCTGCACGTGAGATTTTAGTGAGTTTTAAAAACTATGTGAGCTGCTGTTTTTTTAACGCAACAAAATGAACCGATATCTGTGGATATTAAAGTTAAGTTATGGCTTGAAAGCTTGGGATGTAGATTCATTTTGGAGCTTGGTAGTAAAAATCAGTCCATTTTTGTTGCACAAGTCAACAGCTTTTTGCAAAAAACAACACGAGGGTGAGAAAACCATTACACAATTTTCATTTTTCGCCCAACGATTCCTTTAAAGCTGCAACTCGTTTTGCCTCAGCACGTTTTAACCGAAGATTGTAGAGTGTTTGTTTTGTATTCGCAAGCAACTGTGGTAGCAGATGTCGTGGGTTCGTAGCACACTTATCGAGTTCGTTGCCTGACGTGGCTTCCGTTATTCAGAAGCGAACGAGTCGATGCATTTTCTCCTCTCCTCTCGCCTTTTATTTTAGAGCTTTTGGGAGGGTCTTCTTTTAGGGTCTAAAACGTAACACGAGTTCAAAGTTCATAGAAAGTGCCTTTCCTCATGATGGTGCTGAATAATCGGAGACTAAAGTGAGAAATCAAAGAGCGTATTAGTCTTACTCTTACCTTGAAGAAGGTGTTGCACACATGCAAACACACACACGTTTTTATCTCGATCGGGAGGCTCGTAACGGTGCCTCTTTGTATATTTAGATACTATAATGACGACGATATATGCCAAGTATAGGTTGAGATACTGTATTAGGAGTCCGGATTAATGCAATGGAAGCGTTCATATAGGTGAATGTGCTATCTTTAGATTGGGTGCAGAGCGGACACTCGTATGACACGGCCTGACCCTGGACAGGAAAGCCTAGCACAGCACTTTAAAGACTGCCACCCAAACAAGGAAACAAAGTCACAGTGCTTTGCTCTCCTTTTTCTCCCCCGCCCCCATAAGCCCCTTTTTTCACGTACTCCAGCAAAAGACGGTCTCTAGTGCGCTGAGGGAAGGTTTACACGGGGCCCCGGTGACGTCTTTTTTCGGACTTCACTATGGCTGCTTAAAAATGTTATTGTTTGTGTTGCAGTGGCTGATCGATCCCTCTCAATGTGCAATGGCTCGTAGAAACCTAGACACGTACAGTATGTGTTTTGACCCGCGTGGCCTGTATTTTGTCACATGGAGGATATACCTCGACGAGAGATCTCAAAACACTGCACCTCACTTACCTTGGTATGCCGCATATGTTATAGTGAAAGAAACCGCAAATGGGTGAATCTCACTGAAGAACGTGTTCACATTTCACACCAACATCACAAGACGCGTTGGATTTTGCATAATGAAAATTAAGCAGAAAATTAAATTACTTTTTTTTTTTTTTTGCATTGTGACAATGAAATGCATTCCCCTCCTCAAATTCTCATTATTGTAATGCAAAAAATATTATGTATTAATATTAGTTGCATTGCTTTTCATTTATGCACAATTGATCGTTTTTATAATACAGTAAATGTCATTCTCTCGCCATTGGGAATTACAAAATAGCTCAAAACTTGGAGGAAAATGTGTTAATTTTTTGTGAAAAAAAAAAATAGGCTTCATTTTTCTTGTGCAAAATATAATTTCTAATTGTACTACACTCCAACAAAACGACAGAAATTAGCTATTATATTTTGCATGAAGAAAACAAAGCCTGACTATTTTTATGACAATTTAACACATTCCCCCTCTCCAGATTCTCATTATTATAATGTGAAAAAATGATTCTAATATTAAAATGGATCTGTATTTATACATCGCAATAGTACTGTATTTGTTGCATTGCTTTTCGTTCATGCTTATTAGTCAATATCATTCTATCACCATTGAGGATGATGAGAATTACAAAAAAAAACTAAAGCTTAATTGTCATGAAAGTAATGCAAATAATGGAATAATTGTATTGGTTTGTTAAAATAGGCTTAATTTTCGTCATACAAAATGTAACTTCTAGTGTACTACACCAACAACACAAGACAGAAATAAGTAATTATATTTTGCATCAAGAAAACGATGCCTATTTTCGGACCATTATGTTCCTTATTTTATTTGTAGGCATTGTGACTGTATTTTAATGACAACTAAACACATTATGATAATGCCAAAAAAGATAGGTTGTTAAAACAGGCTTAATTTTCCTCATGCAAAATATCGTTTCTTATTTGTTCTTTTGATTTTGGAGGTGGATATGTTTTCTTGAGATTCGCCCAGATATTGGCCCTTTGATTACAGTATAATGCTTGACAAATGCCTGACAACAATATCCTTAACAATTTTAGATTAAGTCTAATTGTAAGAGAAAAAAAAGGAGTTGTTTTTAAATCATAACACGTATCTTTTTCTTTTTTTATTGAGCCAACTTTTATTTTGTTGTCCTATTTAAATGTTTTTTTTTTTTTATATATTGGAAATATATATGGGATATATTTAATGGTGTATTTATTGATGGAGTGCTTACGCGGCTGGAGTCTCCGCAGAGTTACGGGGGGCGAGTTTGGGGGTCGAACGGACGCCCTCGATATCCTCACAAGCACAACCACAGAGTGGGCTGAAGTGTTCGATGACGTCACTTCCTCCTTGACCTTTGACTACTTGTCTGTCGAGATGGTCCACCTCTCCAGCGAAGAGGCTCGTCGCATCTCATCTCGTTACGGGACGGAGAACCACACTGACTTTATTCCAAAAAGAAGAGATAAAAAGCTGATCGTTTTCATCCCGAGCTGCTAAACACTTAGCCATACATGTTTGTTTTTTCCCTGGAAGGATGTGTCCGGTGCTTTACAAATGGAGTCGAGAAGCAGATCATGGTATTTGTCCTTCGTCATTTGCTTGAGTTCAATTGTCTTCGTGCCAGAGAGGGTCCCATTCCACTCAGATATAATATATATAAATATATGAGCCTCAGCCTTAACTGTACTCTTTGTTTTTCCGATTGGACTCGAGACGTCTGTCAAAAGGCCTTGGTCATGC